ATCTACAACAAACAAAAGAAAAAGACAAAGAAGCAGCCGAACTAGCAATCCTCAACAACTTTTTAAAGAATCAGCCGAACTAGCAATCCTCAACAACTTTTTAAAAAAGCAAACGAACTAGCAATCCTCAACAACTTTTTAATTTTTACACCAGGAGCCAAAGGTCTGTTTCAGGAAATCACATCCCCAGCAATCAGTGGTTGTAGAAATAAGTTGTAAAAGGGTTCATACACCACCAGTGGCTGTGTTGTGCATATGTTGTACATTAATTATTGTCAGCTAGTAGGTGTCAATTTAAACTTGCGCTTTAAAATTTACTTCTGCTAGTTTTTCTATGACATAAGCACTTTTGAAGTTGCGGACCTAAATATTGTCATAAGCACTTTAGCAGTTGAGGAACTAAATGTTGGATGAGCGCTGCCCACCACTGTTAGTTTATAAAACAACATTAATCAGTTTTAGTTTGTGATTTTGTTAGCTTTAGCTTGTAGGTTTGGTAATTTTAGCTTGTAGTTTTTTATTTTAGCTTGTAGTTTTGTTAGTTTAGCTTGTAGTTTTGATAGTTTAGCTTGGAGGTTTGTTAATTTTAGCTTGTAGGTTTGTTAGCTTTAGCTTATAGTTTTTTGTGGCTAGCTTTCTAACACGTGTGTACGTTGACCGCAAGTTCAATAAAAGCCTTGTCACACAACCCACAAGTCGGCTCTACTGCTCGTTACACAAATGCTTATTGAATAGAAAATAATATCCTTGTATATTGAAGAGAACGATAAAAAAGAGTATTCTGAAGAAATATGGAGAATTATAAGTGAATTCATGCTAATTGTTTTTTTTAGTTGATGTCTTTTTTATTTTTAATTAATTTTTAAAGTATTTAAGTTGTTGTTGATTTTTGTTGTATTTTTACTTTTCTTTTGAACATACAGTACTTTGGGTTTAAAAAGGGGCAGATGTAAGATTTGTTTTTCTTCTGCCTTTTATTTGATTTTATTTTGAAAGCATGTTTTTAGTACTTTGTTAATCCGTGCTACAAATTAAATGAATAGAAAAGAATAGAAACAGCCTTTATTGTCCCTCGCGGGGAAATTCAGGTGTAGTAGCAGCAGCATGTACAATCCACAAAACAGTATGTTGCCATGTGACAATATCAATAGTAGCAAAAATATTAGAATTAAAGATTGTAACAATAAAAATAAACAGATCAAAATAATAATAATTACAGTACAGGTCCATCAAGGAAAACTTAGATAAAAATGAAAGTAAAAAGCAAGCTGTGCAGAAAGATACATAATTACAGGAAATAACAGTCATTGTGCAAAATGAGTCGAACTCAGTGTGTAAATTGTTTCACTCAGTCATTAAGTCCAGGAAAAAAAAACTGAACAATTATTATTATTGTTTATTATTTGTGTAATGATTGTGAGGTAGAGTTATTTGATGTGAAAACACAAACGTATGTTTATGATTGTTGCGAGCAGTGATGGTTGTTTTAGTCAGTTCTTCTGTCTCCCACCACCTGCACTGGGTCCAGGGGGCATCCCCTGCTCTCCAGCAGACCTCCTCAGCAGGTACAGTCTGCTCTGACCCTTCCTGTAAACAGTCCCTGCTGTGAGTCCAGTCCAGTTTATTGTCCAGGTGAACACCCAGGCACTTATTAGAGTCCACTATCTCAATGTCCACTCCCTGGATGTTCACCGGTGTCAGTGAGGTGGGTCTGTGTCTGTGGAAGCCCACCACCAGCTCCTTGGTTTTAACAGCGTTGATCAGGAGGTGGTTCTGCTGGCACCAGTCCAAGTCCTGAGTCCACTGTCTGTCATCTGAGTCCACTGTTTGTCCTCTGAGTCCCCTGTCTGTCCTCTGAGTCCACTGATTGTCCTCTGAGTCCACTGTCTGTCCTCTGAGTCCACTGTTTATCCTCTGAGTCCACTGTTTGTCCTCTGAGTCCCCTGTCTGTCCTCTGAGTCCACTGATTGTCCTCTGAGTCCACTGTCTGTCCTCTGAGTCCACTGTCTGTCCTCTGAGTCCACTGTCTGTCCTCTGAGACCACTGTTTGTCCTCTGAGTCCCCTGTCTGTCCTCTGAGTCCACTGTTTGTCCTCTGAGTCCCCTGTCTGTCCTCTGAGTCCACTGTCTGTCCTCTGAGTCCACTGTCTGTCCTCTGAGTCCACTGTTTGTCCTCTGAGTCCACTGTCTGTCCTCTGAGTCCACTGTCTGTCCTCTGAGTCCACTGTTTGTCCTCTGAGTCCACTGTCTGTCCTCTGAGTCCAC